CAATTATAAAACCATATTAGTTATACTACCTAATTAATAATATTTTTTTAAAAAAAATTATTAATTACCCGTCGAAAGACCTAACATATATTGCTTTATATTTTTTAACACTACCTTTTAAAAAAGTATTTTATTATACTGAACTGAGAAAGTACCTAATTTCTTATATGTTAATGGGGCAGTAACTATACCCACGCATGCCATGGCCATTTCTTGAGAAAAGTGATTCAAAAGCAATATGGGAACTCAAGACTTTTGAGGCAAAGTAAGTTCGATTATATTATATTTTTACTGATTGTATGTTTACGCGTTTGCATAATTATAATATTATGTCGCTAAGCATTGTTTATTTCCGCAGCGTGTTCTTTACTTCCTTTTGCTTTCCAATTACGCGTGCTTTTGAAAAATTTATTTTCTTTCCTCTGTAAACTGACTGACTGACACTCTAATTCAAAAAAAAAAAAAAGCAATAATAGAACAGTTCATTCAACTAATACTTTCATCATTTCATGCCCCGATCACTTATTTAAATGATGAGAGAGTACTTATTACTCATGCCAATTTTAATTAGTTTTTTTAAACCTTCTAATTAATGAACGTATTTTTTTTTTCATTTGAAGAAAGCATGGACTAATTAACTATGGGAGGAAATAAATAATTACATCTCACTTTTCAGTAGAGTTTGGATTGAATAATCAGAAGTATACAATTAAATGTTAATCAATAAAGTTGTATTAAGCAATGGAAATTAGTTTTCATATATAAAGTAAAAGAAGTAATATGGTAAATATATAACAGTTAATTATAAAATATTGAACTGAAAAAGAGTTGACTCCAATAATTTTTTGGCTTCATGATAATGTTAGACTTAGAACTTAAAATCTCTTCATAATAATCAACCACATCTAATACTTACTCAATTCATCCCACATTGTTTTCTGTAACACTTTAAGGCATTTAAAAACTTGATTGTGGAAATTTAAAATGAAAATAATTAAGGATGGCCGGAATGTTGGCAGTAGCTTCCAATCTAGTATTTCAAAGGACTAAGCATTTCATAGCAATTGCTTGAGGAGAAGTAATTCAAAAGCAATGGGAACTCAAGACTCTTGACAAAACTTAATTCAATTATTTTACAATTTTTGTGTTTACTTGTTGGCGTTATGTCGTTCAAGATTGTTTTCTTTATAATATTTTACTTAATTTTGCTTTAGCGTGTTATTTACTTCCTTCTCATTTTCTCATATTCCATAATTTCTCATGGGAATATTTAGTTGGAGACGAACTTTTTGGAGATTCATTTGCATGTGGTCAATATATATAACTTTGCGTAGCCAACGGAGGCTAATTCACACAGCTCATTAGCAGATTAAATAAGATCGGTTTCATACTTTATAAATTAAATTTTTTTTCCAATGGAAAACGTTGAATCACTGAGCATCAACATCACAGTTTTGTTTAATTAAACACAACTGAAAACAAAGATCAAACAAAGTTAATTAACACTAAACTGCACAATATAATGGAGCTATTATTTGTAACTATGAAACCTCAAAACTGCATGGATTTTACAATTAATTTTCTTAAATGAAAACAGATATAATAATTAAATATATAATAGTTAATTGAAACATACCATTATGTATTTATCTCTTCCCTTCCTTTTTCTTTAATTTAGTAAATGATGCAGTAAAAGTTAACACAATTTCTAAGAAGACTGAAGGTGGGGCTCCAACTATACTTGTTTCCTGGAAACTTCTTGAGAAAAGGGATCGGATTCAGTTTAAAGCAATATATGGGAACTCAAGACTCCTGAGAGTGATTATAAAAAATGTTAACTCATTTATTTTATTATTTGTAAGTTTACTTATTCGCATTATTCAAAAGTAACGGACAAGCAAAAGGAGACTTCGACTGAGTGTGATTTTGGGGAAAGACTTGAGCAAGATCAATGAAGTTTTTTTTAAAAAAAAAAGTGTTGGAAGGCCATATTTTAATTTACATGAATTTATATGTAAGCTTTATATTTTGTTAGGAATATTGAAAACCAATCACTTGAAATTATTAATTAGAATAATTAACTTTTTTCAGGAATTTGAGGATTTGAATCCTCTCAATATTTTCTAATGCATCTCCCGCCACAATATCATCCATCAATTTAAGTATGTATTTTAGGCCAAAAAAATTTAAGTATGTATTTCATTTAATTAATGGCCATGCGTTAATTATTATGAATTAAATATTTTTTAAATAAGATCATAATTTTTTTATAATAGAAAATAAGTTAATAATATATCCATAACAGGAATGTGAATTTGATGTGACTATAGATTTTGGGTAAATGAGTAAGCTACCCCCAAAATTTTAGGTCCAATAGCACTATAGACTCTAAACTTGTTTATTGTATAAATTGTTCACTCTATTTTAAAAACAATGCAATCTTACTTTACTATTAATAAAAGTTAACTTTAACTATTAGTTAACAAGAAAATAATAAATATACATTTTAAAACACCTTATCATAATTTAACTAATTAATTTTATTTTATATTTTTTTGGTCATTACATTTAGTATTATTTAAATAAATATATACAGCATTATGGCATTTTAGTTTTAAGCGTGCAATATTAAATATTTATTTATTTTAACAGAAGAACATTTTAGTAATTTTGCCTCTTAAGTTAAGGCTAAAACAGAAAATCTCACTCTCGAATTTAGTATATATTACTCGTGTAGTTTGCATAAAGTCCACTAGATCACAATTTTCTTTTGACATATTTACTCTAAAAATAATAAATATACATTTTAAACACCTTATCATAATTTAGTTAATTAATTTTATTTTCTATTTTTTTGTCATTACATTTAATATTATTTAAATAAATATATACGGCATTATGGCATTTTAGTTTTAAGCGTGCAATATTAAACAACACTTAATATCCTGATCTTGCAAATTTTAGTATAAAATCTGGTTACATCTTTGACTTTAATATGAATTACACTTCAATCAGGTGCAAAAATTTATTTTTCTAAGCATAACTTATTTACAATTTGGCCCCATGTCAATACTAAATTTAATTCAATATTCAACATGTGAAAACAAGTTTGGTACTGCACAAAAAGAGTTGTGCAAGTTTAATAAGAATATGGAGGTCATGATGAATGCGTTACATCTAAAAAATAGATGCATAATATAAATAAAGGAATTACGTTTAAAATTAAAAAATGTAGAAGTAAAAGTATTAGTTTTAACACAAAAAATACCTAAAGATAAAATAGTCAATGGTTGCAGCGTAGATATAAGAAATTTTAGAAATTTACTTACACGAAAGATGACAAAGCATGCAAATCCCACAATCAACAAATTATTCACAGGAATTAATCACTAGATTTAATCAAAATTAAGTATAATCTTCCCATGCACTGCACGAGGAAGTAAATGCTAGTTCCATATAAACCAGGGCATGCTAGAGATAGCGTCGTTTCAACCCAAGCATGGACCAGGACCACACCATCGCACCGTTCCACATATACAAGCAAAGGAGTGGATCGAAAAACATAAAATAAAAAGAATAAATAAATAAAGTCGAAAGGCTTGGTAATATATTAGGTACAATGACTTGGTTGGAATTAATTTATTCCACAAGCAAAGACTTGTCAATGATAATGACATGGATGGCATTTATTTGACAGCCGAAGACTCGGGGCAGAAAGACAAACTTGAAAGACGTATAACAACGAGAATAGATTGATTATTTATTTCCGTAGTTAAAAAAATATAAAAGGCAAGCAATTGAAACATTTCTTGTATTGAGCGGAATTTTTTATATTTTGAAAAATTATAAAAAAATATCTCTTAAACTTTGCAATGATAGTTCTACTACATAAGGGAAAATATCAAAGGGGGAAAAGATATAATTTGCAAGGATAAAATGTTTGGTTATTATGGAAAGGAGACTTCAATTGAGTGTAATTTGGTGACGCACTTTTCAAGCGTGATTGAGCGGAAGCAATCAATGGACCAGGATAAATCTAATTTTATATCATTGAATATATATTAAATTCTAAGAAAGGTAAAAAAAAGTTTATGTGCATAAATTTGATTTTTTTTATATGCATAAATTTGATATTTTTAATAAATATATAATTACCTTCTTTTTTGTGTGTTTTCCCCGAATGTATTAATAGGTTAGCAGAATAAAATCAATTTCTTAATGAATACGTCTTATTAATTTCCCTTTACATGTATTGGAAGGCATGTGATTGGAAAGAGAGCGGCAGGCAAAAATGGAGTTGAAAAAAGTGTTGGGAGGCCAAATTTAAATTTAATTTCGGATAATTAAATAGCAAACTTTATATTTGTTTGGGAGTTAATTAATGTAATCATTGGGACAGAGAGAGTATAATTTAATTAAATTATAAAATCCTAATTATATATAATCCTAAAAAGAGTAATATTAAAATAAAAGAACATTACTCCCTAAGTAATTAAATATAACATGGTTCAACAAAACAGAGTTACTGAAGCATAAATATGATAGTTTTTTTTTTTTTTAATTTTTGGCTCAAAACGATGTCATTGCAAGCTGAAAAAAAGTTTAAAATCCAACATAGTCAAACCTTCTAAAACCCTTTAACTGAACTGGCCAAGAGATAGATTCATCGATTCACCGGTTTGACCAATCCATCGAGTTGAATTTTAATAGCAAGGTTATAATTAATTTTCTAGGCATTTGAAACTTTCCTTGGATTCTTATTTTTCTATTTTATTTTTTTCAGTCAGAACAGAGTGCATGCATCTTTTTTATTTGCAGCAAAGTTCATTCAAGATCATGTCTCCACCATTGAAAATAGGGGGAGGAAAAAAATGGAAAGTACTAACCAGATATAACAACCCTCAGTTACATAAAGCCCCTTTGAACGCTGCTTCCCTTGTTATCAAACATGCTTCATCAACATGCTTAGTTTCTCATCACAAATCTCATTTCTTCTGCTAATGCTGCTATGTGCAGTGACATTCCGAAGAATCATCAGTACTTGCGATGAGAGGGATCGAAGTTCACTATTAATCTTCAAACAAGGCGTTGTAGATCCTTCCAACCGCCTCTCCTCTTGGTCTTCTACTCACCAAGATTGCTGTGAATGGGAGGAAGTTTTTTGCGATGCCACTGACACAATCATAGGTCTTGTTCCGAAAAACTGGAATCAAAATGGTTCAGAATCCTTGAAAGGTGAAATCAACTTATCTTCTTTACTTGCACTTGAATTTCTGGAAGACTTGGAATTGAGCTTCAATGACTTTGAACGTATAACCACACGATCCATCAATACTTCTGCTGTTGATGCCCATACTCATTTACCTGCAAATTTTTCTAAGCTTTCTTTCCTGGACTTATCATACAACGTTCATCTTCATATTGATGACCTTCATTGGCTTTCTCTGTTCCCTTCCCTGACAAATCTCCATCTCAGTGGCATTCATCTTCTTAAGGTCACGAATTGGGTTCAATTATTGGCTTCAAAACATCTAGAGGGATTGTGGCTGCAAGATTGCAATTTGACCAGCTTGATTCTATCTGTCGAGAATGCCAATTTTAGTTCAATTTTAGATCTCTCTCTTGGTCGAAATGATTTTAGAAATGGATTGCCAAATTGGTTGTTTAATCTTAGTAATAACCTCCTCTATCTTGATCTTGGATATTGCAATTTAAGAGGTCCAATTCCAGATTTTTCAGGCTATCGAAAAATAGAGATGTTAGATCTGTCTAACAACAAACTCAAAGGACCGATCCCAGATTGGTTAGGCCAACTTCATCACTTAGATAGGCTTAATCTATCGAATAACTTACTTTACGGTTCCATCCCTTATAGTCTGATGGGAAATAACTCATCAAATTTATCAGAGTTAGATATTAGCTTCAATAACTTGAGTGGCACACTTCCGAAAAGCCTTGAGAGAACCCCTGTGCTTTTGGATTTGTCTCACAACTCAATCAGTGGAGATATTTCAAACTTCTTGTTCAATGGTAATTTTATATTTATGCCATTTAATAAATTCAAAGGACAGCTTCCTAGTATAACAGATAACGTCCTGGCTTTGGATTTAGCTTATAACTCCTTCACTGGCTCTTTGTCTTCTCTGTTATGTAACACTGTTACTGACAAAAATGGTTTGAAGTTTTTGGACATATCAAATAATTTTCTAACTGAAGCTCTTCCTGATTGTTGGAGCTATTGGCAAGAGTTGTATTATATTTACTTGGGGAATAATCAGCTATATGGTAAAGTTCCGCCAGCAATGGGTACATCATTGCTTCAGCTAAGGTCACTTGATTTACATGAAAATGGCTTCTCTGGAGAGATACCATGGACTTTCAAATATTGCACATCCTTGGTGCTGATCAATCTCGAAGGAAACAACTTTTCTGGAAGCGTACCAGAATGGATGCAGCAAAATGTATCAGTTCTGAAATTGAGATCCAATCAGTTTACGGGCAGCATTCCCCCAGAGCTTTGTAGTCTCTCTAATCTGATTGTATTGGATCTTGCAAATAACAACCTCTCAGGATCAATCCCTCGTTGTCTGGGAAAATTAATCAGCTTGGTTTCAGGACATATGAATAATGGTTTAATCTTCAAAGCTGATGATGAAACTGAAATGCTTGGCTTTGAAAGAACATATAAATTCAAAATTGATTTGCATACAAAAGGACAAGATTTGGAGTATGAGAAAATTCTGAAGCTCGTGCAAAGTATTGATCTATCAGTAAACAAAATATCTGGAGAAATTCCTACGCAATTTTTCAAGCTTCACAAGTTACAATCCTTAAACTTGTCTTATAATTATCTGGTAGGAGAGATACCAGAGCAGGTAGGAGAGATGAAAGATATAGAATCTCTTGATTTCTCCCATAACAATCTTCATGGGAACATTCCTCAAAGCATGTCTGGTCTATCTTTTCTAAGTGTTTTGAATCTGTCATATAACCATTTCAGGGGACAAATTCCCCTAGGGACTCAACTTCAGAGTTTTGATGCATGGAGTTATACTGGGAATCCTGAACTTTGCGGAACTCCTCTTCAAAATAATTGCACAGTACCAGAAAAACCAGACAACACAAAGCAGGTTGAAGGAAATGATGATGATCCTTTTATGAGGTCATTGTATCTTGGGATGGGAGTTGGATTCGCGGTGGGATTCTGGGTCATTTGTGGTTCTCTATTCCTGAACAGAGCATGGAGGCACACTTATTTTCGATTCCTTTATGGTGTGGTAGATCAAATCTATATCTTTGTGGCCATAAAGCTTCTAAGATTTCGCTAAATAGAAATAATTAGAGATAGCACTAGGTCAGTTAAGAATTTTTTCGCTTTATTTAAATTTAAAGTTTTCTTTTGTAATAATTTTCATTTCTTAGCCTATTCATCAATGCCATAATGATTTCCTTTTCTTTTTTATGCCCAATATATCAGATGCATAATACAACAGAATTCTCTGGTTACGCAATGAAACGACTCCCATGAATCTTTAGCAAACCAATAGGAAGCACAATTAGTTTCAGCTGTTTTGAACTAATTAAAATTTTTTGATTTTCTATTTTAAAAATTTTAGGCTTACCAAATCTCAAGTGTCCAAATTAAATTTATAGTAGTCCTTTTACATATTTAATAGAAATTGTTGTTTCATTAAACTCCAGCTTTGAAATTTATAGTCCAAATTTTACACGTCTATAGTCCTTGTCATTCAAGAAGGAGAAAAAACACTCACTCTTATATAAGATTATTTTTATCTTGCTAAAGTTTTCAAATAAAAAAATTGAAACTATCTATGATTTGTTTTTAATGTATTGATTCATGTAATAGTAATCTGATATTATTCATATTTGTTTTTTGCAGTAATAATACGCCCCCAATGCTTCGCTAGTTATGCTCTTCGATGAGTGGAAGTTAAGGTCAAGCTCTAGCGTCGCTGCTTCAAGTGTTCAGATGCTATTGGGCTATTAAAGCGTGATGTTGTTGATGACCAAATAAAAAAGTGTGATGATGTTTTATAGGTTGTGTTTGTCACCGTGATTACTATATTGTTTGTGTTGTTTAGATTACTTGATTTGGTGTGTCTAATTATTATGAAGAGGTGTTGTCATATTTTAATTATCTCTGCAGTGTTGTTTGTGAAACATGAAATTTGAAATATTTTACGTTAAAGTGTGGTGTTCTCATCATAATGTTCTTGCTTTGTAGAATATTGTATGTGAGTCCTTAGGATAAACTAAAATATTTTTATAATTAATTTTTAATACGCAAAAGAATCGAGATTGTCTCTTGTAAACAAACTCTCATTTTATGAGAGGCAATTTGAAAATTGTTTTAATAAATGTTTCTTAAATTTTATAATTTTGCTTATAAAAAAATGAAGCATATTGCCGTATAATTATAAAAAAAAAAAACAGAGAGGATAGATGATTGGATTGAATTCAAAGGCCTCACTTTGAACAAATACATGATCATTAAGTAATTGGAGTAAAATGTTGAGTAATTAACTTTTTCCTGTCAAGTTAGACTGGTTCTAAATTGCGAGTAAAAAAAAAAAGTTCTGAATTAAAACTTGTTTATACATGATGCAGAAGTGGAGATTTTAAATGGGGACAAAAATATTTGGTAACGTGAAGAGGATGAAGAAAATTAATCGGTGCACCTTAAAATTGACCATCTTGCCCCAGGTGGCCCAGACAAATTCCATATAAACCAAGGCATTCTAGAGATAGACGTGGAGTCGTTTCAGCTCAGTCATGGACCTGCTGGACCACGCAATTGCACCGCTTCATACGAGCAAAGAATTTGGAAAAAAAGACAAAAGAAAACAAAAAAGGTCGATAGTTACGTCCAATGACTTGATTGGTATTTATTCCACAAGCAACGACTTGTCAATGATCATGAATTAGTTGGCATTTATTTCACAGCCAAAGACTTGGGGCACGAAAAGAGGGATCGCTGCAAAAGTTTTGAAATTTAAGATGAAATTAAGAGAGTCAAAGTATTGTCTCATACCTCAGAAGAATCAATGGGTGTTTATCAACAGACGTTAAATAATTACAAATTTAATTATTTAATATTTAAAATATACTAAATATGAATTTAGGTTCAATTTTAAAACTTTAAGATTCAAATTGTCATTTAATTTTTTTAAAAAATATTAAATTTATGCCCCTAGACTTTTCTTTTTCTTTTCTACTTTTCCTTAAAGTTTATATATATCCAGTGATGTAAAATTAGATTTATGCTGGTCCATTGATTGCTTCCTCTTCATTCACGCTTGGAAAGTCAATCTCCCCAAATCACGCTCAATTATATTGAAGATTTGAAGTCTCCTTTCTACACTAACAAAACATTTTACCCTTGCAAATTATATGTTTTCCCCCTCAATAGAGTGTGGTTTGGGAAGATGACTTTTCAACCGTGAATGAAGTGGAAGGAATTAATGAACCAGCATAAATCTAATTTTATATCACTGAATACATATTAAATTTAAGGAAAAGTGAAAAATAAAAAATTTTATGTGCATAAGTTTGATATCTTTTTAATAAATACATAATTACGTTATTCTCTTTTGTGAATTTGCCCGAATGTATGAATATGTTAATAGAATAAAATCAATTTCGTAATGAATACGTCTTATTAATTCTGTCTCAGCTACATATGCTTTATAAGAATTGATAATATTTGATTTTGCTTTCATTTTATATTTAATTAAAAAAATTATGAGAATTAATGACAAATTTTGTGAAGTCTTGCAAATTTGAACTAAAATCTCAAAATATATTGAATATCATGTGCTAGGTTAAGATGTTATAGAAAAAATTTAATTTTTTTTGTGATAACCAAACTATTAAAATTTATAATATAAATAATTTTTACTCTTATATTATTCGATCTCATAGACTTAAATATTCTGTAATAATTGAGTATCATTATTGTGTTAATATATTTACAATTGTCGTCAATTAAAAATTAAAATAATTAAATAATAAATTTAATAAGTAATACAGCTTTTTTTTATTGAGCACAACTTTAAATTTTAAGAATGCATTTAAATCATTCAATGTTAAAAAAAAGATGATTTTTTCACAAATTTAATGATAGTTTATATTGAGAAAAAAATTGCTAAAAAATTTATCACAGACATAATAATTGATGATTTTTATATCATGAAAAATCAAAGAGAAAATCTTAAAAACTGAAAATACATACTTATTTTTTTTATATTTTATAAAGTTGAATATAAATATATACATTTAAATATTTATATTATGTTAGTAATATATATATATACTCCCCCTGGTCCTATTTATAAGTCACTTTCAACATTTTCACCGAAACTAAAAAAAAACCTTAAACCTCATTAACTCTCTTAAAATTTAACAATTTTTTAACTTTACCCCTATTAAATACCTATTCTAAAAATAAAATGCTCTAGCATTTAATGACCTCTCTAACATTGAATAGAGGCAAAAGACTAAAGATAGACATAATAATCATTGAGGTGCTCTATAAATAGGATCAAAATGAGTCTTCTCTCTTGCTTTATAAATAGCACCAGAGGAGTATATATTCAACTTTCTCTCAATTGTAATATGTGTTTTGTCATTTTGGCCTCGCTTGATTAAAATTTCTAGCTCTGCCCTGCAGGTAAAAATAGAATTGAAAAAAGTGTTTGGGGACCAAATTTAAATTTAATTTCTGAGAATTAAATAGAAAACTTTAAATTTGTTTTGGAGTTAATATGTGTGCTTTCATAATCATTTGATTTTGATTTAAATTAATTAGGTACATATTAGTGAAATAATTCGCCCAAAAATCAAAATTTTGGAATATATTGAGAACCCAATACTAGTTTAAGGCAAATATTCTCCCCATTGTCCCCATTCGGTGCACAAATATTTTCCTGATTTGCAAGGGTAATACTAACAGTCTTTCATTTTTGTAAAATTTAAGAAAATCCGAACATGAAGTTCAGTCGCAGATATAAACCTTGGGAGAGAAATAACAAACTCTTAATCACTTGGAAAATCCCCTTTTGAAAGTACTTGCTTCGTAATCAACATGCTTAGTTTCTCATCACAAATCTCAGTTCTTGTGTCGTTGATGCTGCTAAGTGCAGTGACATTCCACAGAAGCTTCTGCTGCCATGACAGGGATCGAACTTTGCTCTTAATCTTCAAACAAGGCATTGTGGATGATACCAACTTTCTCTCCTCCTAGTCTGCGTCGCAAGATTGTTGTGAATGGCTTGGAGTTGGTTGTGATTTCAACACCAGCAGGGTCCAACAGCTTGATCTGGCCACAATACATTTGAGAGGTGAAATCAACTTATCTTCTTTACTTGCACTTGAATTTCTAGAATATATGGACTTGAGCTACAATGACTTCGAACGCATAAGCACACCATCTATCAATACTTCTCTCGTTGCTCATAATCATTTACCTGCAAATTTTTCTATGCTTTATAACCTGGACTTATCATACAATTTGCATCTTCGCATTGATGATCTTCATTGGCTCTCTAGACTTCCATCCCTAGCATATTTCGGGCTTCGTGGCACTCATCACCTTCCTAGCGAAACAAATTGGGTTCGATCATTGACTTTGCTACCTCTGGAGGAATTACATTTGTATGATTATAATTTGAACACCTCTATTCTATCTCTTGAATATGCTAATTTTAGCTCACTTAAAAGTCTTGATCTCGGTCTAAATGATTTTAGAGATGGACTACCCAATTGGTTGTTCAATCTTAGCAAAGACAACTTCAATGACCTATATCTCAGCCAATGCAATTTGGGAGGTCAGATTCCAGATTTTTCAGGCTATCAAAATCTGCAGGGCTTATATCTATCTGACAACAAACTCAAAGGATCAATACCTGATTGGCTTGGCCAGGTTGATAGATTATATGACCTTGATCTATCTGATAACTTGTTGCACGGTTGCATTCCTTCTAATCTTGTAAATGCATCAAATTTAGAAGTTTTAAATATTAGCTTCAATGACTTGAGTGGTACACTTCCCAAAAACATTGTCCAAAGGCACTTTGTTCTTTTGGATTTGTCTCACAATTCAATCAGTGGAGATATATCTAACAGGTGGCTAAAAGTGATGAAATATTGATGTCATTTAATAAATTAGAAGGACGGCTTCCTCGAGTATCGGATGAGGTTGAAGTTTTAGATTTAGCTGGCAACTCTTTTTCTGGATCTTTATCTTCTTTATTATGTCACGCGGAGACTAACCAGTATGATTTGAAATTTTTAGACCTATCAAATAATTATCTCACTGAAGAACTTCTAGATTGTTGGAAAAATTGGACATCTTTGTTCTATTTATACTTGGGGAATAATCGAATGGTTGGTCAAGTTCCTCCAAGGATGGGTTCATCTTTATATCATCTAAGAGCGCTAGATCTACATAACAATGGTTTTTCTAGGCATGTACCTTGGACTTTTTATAATTGCACGTCTTTGGTGCTGATCAATTTGGAAGGAAATCATTTTTCTGGAAGTATATCAACATGGATGCCAAAAAATGTGTCAATTGTGAAACTGAGATCCAACCAATTCACAGGCAACGTTCTACTACGGCTGTTTAGTCTCCTGAATTTGATCATATTGGACCTTGCAAATAACAAACTCTCAGGATCAATCCCGCATTGTCTTCCCAATATAACCAGTTTGGTTTCAAAATCTCTAACAATTGATTCAATATTCGAAGAAGATGAAATATATATGAAGACTACAAATAACTTTACCTTCCCAGAGATTTCACATGAATTCAAAATTAATTTGCTCACAAAGGGTCAACAATTAGAGTATGAGAAAATTTTGAAGCTTGTGCGAAGTATTGACCTATCAGTTAACAAACTTTTAGGAGAAATTCCAGTACAATTGTTCAAGCTCACCAAGTTACAATCCTTAAACTTGTCTTATGATTATTTGATAGGAGAGATATTCCAGAGCAGATAGAAAAGATGAAAGATATAGAATCTCTTGATTTCTCCCATAACAATCTTCATGGGAACATTCCTCAAAGCATGGCTGGTCTATCTTTTCTAAGTGTTTTGAATATGTCATACAACCATTTCAGTGGACAAACTCTACTAGGGACTCAGCTTCAGAGTTTTGATGCATGGAGTTACACTGGGAATACCGAACTTTGTGGAGCTCCTCTTCCAAATAACTGCACCTTACTAGAAAAACTAGACAATACAAAGCAAGTTGGAGGGAATGACAATAATGGGTTTTTGAGTTCATTGTATCTTGGGATGGGAGTTGGATTTGCAATGGGATTCTGGGTCGTTTGTGGTTCTTTGTTCCTAAATAGAGAATGGAGGCACACTTATCTTCAATTCTTTTATGATGTGGTATATGGAATCTATGTTGCTATGGCCATAAAGCTTTGAAGATTCTGCTAAATGGAAATAAGAGACAGCACCAGGTTGGTTAAGAAGTTTTTTCGCATAATTTAAATTCAAAGTTTTCTTTTATAATAATTTTTGTTTCTTAGCATATTCATCAGAGCTGTAATGATTTCCTTTTCTTTTTGTTGCCTAATAAATCATATGCATAATACAAGTGAAGTCTCTGTTTACGTAATGAAATGACTATCTTCTATAAATCTTTAACAAACCTATAGGATACGCAGTTTGTTTCAACTGTTTTGAACTATTTAAAATTTTCATTTTCTATTTTAAAAATTCTAGGCTTACCAAATCTTAAGTGTCCAAATTCAATTTATAGTCCTTTTACATATTTAATAGAAATTGTTGTTCCATAAACTGCAGCATTGAAATTTATTGGTCAAATTTTATACTTTTATAGTCAGTTGTCATTCCAGAGGAGAAAAAAAAAAAACTCATTCTTGTATAAGATTATTTTTACTTTGCTAAATTTTTCCAATAAAAAAATTAAAATTATATATACTTTGGTTTTTATGAACTGATTCATGCAATAGTAAACTAATATTATTCATATTTGTTTTCCGTAGCAACACGCCCCCAAAGCTTCGCTAGTTATGCTCTTTGATCAGTGGAAGTTAAGATCAAGCTCTAGCGTCGCTGCTTCAAGTGTTCGGATGCTATATTGGACTATTAAAGTGTGATGTTGTTGATGACCAAATAAAAAAGTGTGATGATGTTTTGTAAGTTGTGCTTGTCATCGTGATTACTACATTGTCTATATTACTCAGATTACTTGATTTGGTGTGCCCAATTATTATGAAGAGGTGTTGTCATATTTTAGTTAATCTCTCCAGTGTTGTTTCTGAAACATGAGATTTGAAATATTTTATGTTTCAAGTGTGCTATTCTCGGCATAATGTTCATGATTTGTAGAATGTTGTATGTGAGTGTTTAAGATAAATGTTCTAAATTAACTTTGTTTATACATCATGAACTGGAGATTAACATTGTGGTATAATTAAATATGTGTTAGTGCAACTTACTACATTAAAAGAGTATTGCACAAAATGGGCATGTATTGAATTCCTTAAATTGGCTGAATAACTAAATGTTGCAATTTCATGGAGTGCACAAGAAGAATTTTCTACTAGATAATTAGGAAATTTTCAACCAAGATATAATATTCTTAGTTACGATCACAACATATAATGGTACAGTCAACAGATCGAACAAATGTGCAGCAAAAACATGAACATATGTGTCTGAGAAGTGAGAACATCCCAATCTTTAGTACTAAACCCACAACACTAGCCAGAATACTATAGTAGCACCAGCAGCCAATGTAAAAATCAGTGATAAATATGAAGAGACTAGGCATTAAATGAGTTTGCATATTTAACATGAAAAACTACGCTCATAGAAGACCACTTCAAAACCTGAAGAAACTGATCAGAGGTGACGCAATTATAGACAACTTATACTTTCATTTTCCTTCCAATGTAACCAAGCTCAATATATGATAGGGCTAGTATCATCTTTAAATATATGGCATATATAGCTACCAATTTAATCTTAAACTATCATCTTGATGCCATTATTATTGAAGCTAAGGGGCCATTCTAAGCAGAGATCGACAGACATGTAATTTTAGTTTTGCGTGTCACTGAAATTCAATTTAGAGAGCATATCATATTGTTTGTCAGAAAGACAAAAACCTACTAATTGCAGTAAGCCAAGACAGAGGGCATTCTTTTAGTAGACAAATGGTTTTAGCTTTCTAAAGTCTCAGCCGCCTGCTAACATCCACACAACAAGGATGACAAATTTGACGTGAATCAAGATTTACTGGCTCTAGGGAAAAACAAGGGGAAATTACATATGAGAGCCATGGAGCAGACTTGTTCACAAATAAGTCTCATGAAATTTAGAAATCACAATCAGGTCCCTTGAGACTTGAGTGTAATTTGAAATTAGACTAAAAAAATAATAATACCCATATTAAGCATACATTATATCAATCAAATTATTATTTTACAATTATTTCATTAGCAATTTACTACTATAATTTTAATTTTTTACAACTATAACTTTACATATCCAATAGTTAAATAATCATACATTACTAATAAAGTTTAATGTTACAGTTGTATAAAGTTTAAATTATAGTTGTAAATCACTAATAAAGTAGTTGTTAATTTTTTGACTGATGTAATGTATATATGTTTAATAGGAACATTATTGTCTTTTTATTCAAATTTCAAATTATACTTGGGTCTCAAGGGATTTCATTGTGATTTTTAAATTTTGTGAGACTTATTTATAAATAAATCAACTTCATGGGACCTATATGTAATTTTTTCAAAAAACAAAGTCAGCAAAGCATTAGTGTATTCCCCCTGGTGAATGGAAGTGTTGGCTTTATCACTAACAAAATTGAAGCATTGTTGTTTCGTTCCTAAAACTGGAAAATCCTAGCTTGTGCTTTTCATCTTCCAATTCGATCACTCTAATCACGGGAATCACATATGTTTCAGTGTTAAATTCTCTTATATTAAGTATGCTTGAGGGTAGTTTGCTTCACTAAAATAACTAGCCATTTGGTTAAATACACCATAAGTTTTAAGTTTTATATATTTTTAATTCATCTTCTAATCATTAGATATGAGACTCTTTATCTTTAATATTTAGAATATTTAATTCCTGGATTCATGATTTCTCTTCAAAATTATTAGTTTATTACCCTTACCATAAACCATGATTAAAACGGAGAATGGATCTGTACATTTTTTATCTTGAAAAAAGAAATTTATTAAAGCAAAACAATAAACATCTGATTGAGTTAAAAATAGTTGGTAATATAAAGGGGATGAAGAAAATTAATTGGTGCGCCTTAAAAATGACCATCTTGCCCCTCGTGGCTTAGCCAAATTCCATATAAACCAAGGCACGCTAGAGATGGAGTCGTTTCAGCTCGAGCATGGACCTGGACCTGGACCGGCTGGTTCATGCAAGCAAATAATTGGAAAAACGAAAAATAACGAAAAAAAGTCGAAAGACTAGATAATTTCGTACAATGACATGGTTGGTATTTATTCCACAAGCAAAGACTTGACAATGATGCTGGTCAACAACAAAAAAAAAAAGACTTGACAATGATAATTGATAATGACATGTTTCCACGGCCTAAAGACTCGGGGCAGAAAAACGAACTTGAAAGACTTGTAACAACGACAATGAATTAATTGGTTATTAATTTCCTTAGTTTAAAAAAAGAAAGAAAGAAAAGGCAAGCAATTGAACATTTCTTATATTGAGCGAAATTTTTTACATTTTGAAAAATGTTAAAAAAATCTCTTAAATTTTGCAATAATAGATCTAAAAAAGGGAAAATATAAAAGGGGAAAAAGATATATCACTGAATAATTTTTGAAATTAATAATTTTCAGGGATAAAATGTTCTGTTAGTGTAGAAAGGAGACTTCAATTGAGCGTGATTTGGGAAGACGACTTTTGAAGCAAGAATGTAGTGGAAGCAATTAATGGACCTGAATAAATCTAAATTTATATCACTGAGAATATATTAAATCAAAGAAAGGGTTAAAAAAACAAGAAGAAGAAATTTATATGCATAAATTTGATACTTTTTAATAGAGTTTGTATTGAATAGTCCGAAATATATGTAGTTAAATGTTAATCACTTATAATATTTACTTTACTCTATTTAAAGGTAAGCACCTTCCCACTATCCAACGTTGTTGTCCTAACAAAAGAAGCTGTGACTACTTAAGTGCAGAGTTTTAAGTTCGAGTAAAAAATTCTCTAATATAATTTAGTAGTACTTAAGTAATCGAGATTAGTTCACAAATATAAAGTAAAAGAGAAGTAATAAGATCGTTAAATCCATTTCATGGCAATTTCTTGAGGAGAAGTAATTCAAAAAGCAATGGAACTCAAGACTCTTGGCAAAACTTAATTCAATTATTTTACTTTTTCTTTCTTTGTGTTTACTTGTCATCATGATGTCGTTGAAATTTGTTTCTTGATAATAATATTTTACTTACTTTCGCTTCAGCGTGTTATTTACTTCCTTCTCAATCTCCTGATTAAATTTCTTAAAGAAAGTGATCAATATAACTTTGCGTAGCCAACGGAGGCTAATTCACACAGCTCGTTTGCATATTCGGATCGGTTTCATATTTTATAAATTAAAATTAATTTTTTTGCCGATGGTAAACAAAGTTTATCATAACATCACAGTTTTGTAAATATATATGAAATCACAAAACACAACTGAAAACAAAGATTAAACAAAGCTAACTACAAGCTATATAATATAATGGAGCTATTATTTGTAAATATATATGAAATCACAAAACTGCGCAAAGTTAATTTTCTTAAATGAAAATTAAACAGGTATAATTAAATTACTAGTGTTGGGGAGAAACTCAAGACTCTTGAGACAAGTCATTAATTCAATTATTTTACAATTTGTATACGTTAGTGGCTGACATTATTATGTCGTAATCAAATATTGTTTCTCTCTAGTATTTTACTTATTTTCGCTTCAGTGTTATTTACTTCCCTCTCATTTTTCTCATATTTTATAATTTTTAAAGGGATATTTTATATTTAGTTGGACACGAACTTTTTGGAGCTTCGTCTGCATCTGCACACATCAAAATAACTTTGCGTTGAACTTTAGGGTTTAAAGGGAAACTTCTTTAATTTCTGGCCATGTGTTGAAGCATACTTTAAAATTGAATTCGAAACATAGAATGTCTTCTAGGGAATGGATTTCTTATTGTTGAATGAGCAGTTAATGTTCGGCTATTAATTACCTCTGAGAACAATATACGATTATAATATTTTAAATTTTATTAAAACTAGAGAATAATATATATATATATATATATAACATTGCAAGTTATTGTTTCAAGAAGAAAAGAAAAAAATGGATATCCAATGGGGATAATATGTATAGGAAGACATGAGACATCAGTAAA